GTATATAGGGAATTTCTCATTTTGTTTTTGTCCTTCCTTTGTTAGCAAGAAATAAAGGGTAAAGGGAGAGGGAGGAGATGGGGGCGGGTTGCTCAAGGTTGTAAATGAAACCATGACGTCGTTACCATTCCAATCTTGAGAGAATCACATTTAAATTGAGCATACAGGTTTGTCTCTATTCCACGGCCCTGCCAAAAGAATCGAAAGTGAAGTTCAAAGTTTAGGAAACGAATTATCCCGTTTAAGGATAATTATAAAGAAAAAGAAAACAAAGGGTAGGAGTTACAATACACCCACAAGACAAGGTATGAATGAATCACATCACTGAGTGATGCTTTTTATAGGGCAACAAGAAAAGAATCACTAAATTCTAAATCATTCCACAGGGAGATAGCAGTCTCCACCAATAACTGCAGTAGCAGCATAGAGGAAATGGTAATATTTTCCTCAAGGTATACTGTGGTTCCAGACGAGCAGTGACACAAAACTAGACCAAAAGCTAACATGAAAAGGCCTTTCCAAAGGAATTGGCTATTGCAAAAGAATCAATTAGCAAGAGGCTTACCATGCCTTCCAAAATGACGAGGTCAGTATCACTTGCCAAGTATGCCAGTTCCTGAGAAACCGTCGTGAGATCAATAACCTGCGACAACATGCATAAATGCTCTCAGTAAAATAGATCTGACAGCTGAACCAGCCCAAAGCTTGCCTTCTCAGCATGACACCTACGCAATTCCTCACATGCGTAACGGCCCAGCCAAGCCAAGTTGGAGAGTGAGCTCAAAGGGTAGGTGCATAGTAAATTTAGGTTGGGTGGGAACCAAAATAAGGTAGCTTTGAATTCAACTAGCTTGCTTAAAAGTAGGAATTCACGGTAAGCTTACATAAAATGTATAAAACATATTAGGTATAACTTAAGGTATATACTAGAAAGAGTAAATAGCATATTCGTCTATCATATATGTCAAAGAAAGCAACTTAATCCTTCATATTCAGTATGATTCACTTATCTAATTCTTAGTAAAAAGTAACAATCAAAAGTTAATAATATTTCACTAATCACTCAAAATAGTCATGAAATCATCTTTGGACAGATAAAATGAAAATGAAAGACAAAAGAAAAAACAACTTCTAAACAACAAGAAAAATACAAATAAAAAAGAGATCTGTTAAGAGATATAGGAAATTAATAAAGAGAACTAGGAGGAAAAGAAAGGGTTCCAAATAGTTTAATTAAATAAATCAGCTAAACTTAATTGAAGGGGATTTAGGACAAAGGTTAATGAGTTGAAAGAGAAAAATACCATGAAAAATAGATTTGAGGCAACCAACAGGTAGCTAATAGTAAGGGGCATAGTGCATTTTCCTTTGCTGCAGAAGAATCTTATTGATTTACATTAACAGATTGAATTTGGGGGCAAACCAATTCTATGAGCAATAATGCTGTAACTAGCTCTCAAGATCTTGGTTTGAGACTTTGACTTGTTTCACAACAACTTGGTTTCTTAATTTTGTCCAACTTGAATCTGTAAGTGGGATTACTTCCGTAAAACTATATTGAACCTTTGATTAATTTTTTTTTTTT